TCCCCCCCCCCCCCCGGAGTTGTTCACAAAGCTGCCGGTGTTTGTAGGCTTCGTCAATTTCACCACCATTCTAACATATCAAATATGGGGCGTCAAATGTCTTGGTGATGCCTTACTGCCTCATCACCTGTAAGTATGTGCAGAAGAGTGGGGTATTGGATTCCGCGTCCAATGCCACTCCTCCTGTCCAGCCGTAAATTTGGCGTATTGTTGATTCACACATTCTTCCTCCTCAGACGATGTTCCGATTTCCAAACAAGTGGTATATATATATATACCCAAATGCACGAGAGGATCTCTTTCTCTGTGTCTCTGATCCGAACATTTCAACTTACTCACTCTGTAGTTTGGCGCAGTGCCTGACCTGACGTGAAAGTCCCCGTCCAAGGAGCGCCACAGACGCACACGTGCGACAGACTTGCTGCGGCTCCTTTAACGTGCCAGCGTCGGTTTGATGCTGGTCCAGTCCAACACATGCCGTTATTGGTGGCGAAGGTGGTAGCTGTTTGCCAGTACAGCCTGTCTTTTTTGACTTGTTGATTACTTGCGGATTGCACAGGGTTTGCGACATCTTACGTCGGTTTTAGAAATATGCGCCAACTATCCCAAAGATCCGGGCCCTTCCTAAGGCGGTGCACTCACACAGCCAGAAAACTTTGGTGTAAAACGTGCCTATAAACGCCGACTCCCTCCTCCTCCCCGCTTTCGAGTCGAGTTCTCTTATCTGTCACAGCACGAAGTGACCGTTCCCCTTCTCCGAAGCTTCGTGTTGTTGCTGGGCCAGTATTGTCGGTTCCCTTTAAATACCCTGCTTTTTTTCGATGGTGTTCAGCCTTAGTCTCTACGCCCAATGCCTGTCATCATCATCATCATCATCATCATCATCATCATCATCATCATCATCATCATCATCATCATCATCATCATCATCATCATCATCATCATCATCATCATCATCACCGCCGCCACCCCATCTGGGTGTATCTTTTTTTTTCGCCTGCCACAGTGATCCGGATCACGAGGATATACGGCCGAGCACACTGACGAACATGGCCATAGACATTGCCGAGGGCATGGCCTATCTGCACAACAAGCGCCTCATACACCGGGACATTGCCTGCCGAAACTGTCTGGTCGGCCGGGACCGAGTTGTCAAGATTGGTGACTTTGGTCTGACCAGGGAGGCCAAAAGCAACAGTCCTGATGGCTACTACCGATTTACACGAAACTGTAAGTTCTGGTGAAGTGCTACCTGAGGTGAGGTTATGATATGTAACCCGCCCATGGGTGGTAGGTGTGATTCATAACGATTTTTTCTGGCAACAGGTCCCGAGTGGGATTCTGTGATACGCGGATTTCGACCTTCACAACCACCACTGGTTTTGAAGTTGCCCTTATCGGACCCCGATATAGGATTAGGGTGGGTGCTAGGAGTTGGGCTATTTTTAGAGCTAGAGTTGTCAGGCCTAGGTAGTGGTTTGGATTTGGGTTTGAGGCTAGGACTGGGGTTTGACGTTAGGGTTTCAGGGTTAGGGTCACCCGTTACAGACAAGGCCACGGTTGGCTTTCGCAAAGTCCAACTAAAGCGCAGAAACCATAATCAGCTGGTCGTAAAAGTGCCCAGTTGGGCCGGATTGAGGTTATGTGGAGCGACTGGGTGAAAGAGTGACCTCCTGCATCCGAAGGTAGACGCCTTTACCCATCTGCACGTTTAAACTTACACATTTATGTCTGATGGCGAGTGAGGCCTTATTGAATTGTGGATAACCTTCACCGGCTTGTGATCAACCATGCCATCAAATGTCACCTTTACATGCCCCGCGACGATTTATTTGTCAGACCCGGGAACCCACTAATCTCGTAGCTGTCCTATTCGGAGGAACTTTACAGTATCTTCCACCGGTGAACAAACTAGGTAGTTCAAAGTCAGGTAAGCAGGTCGTAACTTAGTGCAGACGTCTCGTTTCTCCGGTTCCATCACTGCATTTGGCGACGGCCGAAGCATTCTCTCTCCCTCCCCACACCACCCCCTCCGACGCTTTCTGTAATCCAATTAAGACTGCTTAACACCATGTGAGGTACTGATTTGCGCTATGCACACCCCGTTTCTTATCGCCCTTTCACAACTCTCCCTCGAAGGTGAACTACCAATTCGCTGGATGTCTCCAGAGGCCGTTCAGTTCGGAATCTTCAGTGTAAAGTCCGACCTCTGGTCCTATGGCATCGTGCTGTACGAAATGATCACCTTTGGTGTCTTCCCCTATGAGGGCCTCTGTGATGTCGAGGTCGTGGAACGTGTCAAGCGGATGGAATTCAGCATCACAGACTTCCTGCCCATTGCCGCCAAGGATACACCTGTGTACGTTCTTTTCCGCCTTTTTTCTCCACCTTTGGCTTTCTTTCTTTTGACACGTCTGCCTACCACATGCCTCCACGCCTCCCACCCTCCGCAAGCTTCTGTAAAGAAGGCTTTTTTGCATTAATAACTCTGGTAGTTTGTAATCGATAAGGGTCATCGTGTAACGGACTTAGGTGGCTGCTGGAGATAGGTTGCGTAATAACGATGAGTTGGAGCACAGTAGCCGACCTTCTTAGAGCGCACTCTACGCGTACCACAACACACCGCGCAAGGGCCTCAGGTGGCCAAGCGGTGACACTGCGGCTGTTTCCACCTGGTTTAACTGCCTAGTCGAAAAAGCTGTTTGCATGTGACACTGTCCTGGGGTTAGCAAAAGTACGAGATCCCGGTTGATAATCTGAGGAAAATGAAGTGCTCACCGGATCGAAAGACTTGTTCGGCTGACGTTTCGAAGAGCTGGGCCGGCTCTCCATTGTCAAGGCGTCTAGTGCAAAAAATCGATCACAATTTCAAATAGACAGCCGAATTAGTTGGCCTTGGGCTGATCGATTTTTTTCTTTTTTTGCTGCCTTGATCTACTGGCCGTCGCCTGTGAGTGTTGGTTGCCTCCTATATTGTGTGTCGTCACCTCAATTGAGGTTAGTAGTGTTTGCGTTCCCCTTTTGGGTGAATTGGTCGACAGGCCGTGTTTGCTCGGTAGTCTTAGGCTCCGTATGACTGCCTTGTCTTCGTAACGGCGTATGTAGTGACGTAGGACTTTATAGGCCGAAGGAAGGTCTGGATGCCTGTTGATGGAGTTGGTATCTGAGTGCCAAGCCTCGAGTGTGAGACGTTCAGTCCTTGAGGTGCCTCTGCCTAAGACGGCTGCTCCTTGAAAATCAAAACTGTGACCAGTTTCCCCGATGTGAGCCGCAAGCAGTGAGTTTGCGTCTAGTCTCCGAGTTTCCATTTTGTGCTCGTGTAGACGGGTCTGAAATTTCCGTCTGGTTTCCCCAACGTAGTTGCAGTCTCCATCCTTACAACGTATTTGATAGACAACTGCTGAGGTTTCAGTGGGTGGCAGTATGTCTTTGGGTTGCATCAAACGGCGACGAATTGTTGTCTGGGGTCCATGGGCAATGCCTACCCTGGCGGGTTGTAACATTCGTGAAACCGCCTCGGAGACTCCTTTAATGTAAGGAACAGCCCTCCAGACTTCGGCTTTTTCTTCTTGTGGCCGTCGTCTGTTGACTCGGCGCTTGCTTTGCTTGATGAATTAGGTTGGGTATCCATTGGTTCGAAAGAGATCATGAAGGTGCTGTCGTTCAACTCTTTTGTCGGCTGGTGTGCTGCAGTGTGTTTTAGCTCTTTGGACACAGCTGCGTTTGTGAGCACAACATTGTCAGTGCTACCGCTAAGTTTACTTGACTGTGTTGGCCAGGGTGACACATGCGAAGCAAGTCGAAACCACTTACTTTGCTTCCCTTGCGTGTGCCCCCCGAGATCCTAGCCATTGTGTACGCGCGCAGGAGTGAATTTCTACGCTTGATACGCGCGTCTTTTTTTGCACCTTCAAGGTGGCGTCTGATTGACAGCTGTTGTCAGCATCATTGGCAGCACAGGCCGGAATCAATGAACCAGGTTATCGAGGCGCTGCGGGCAAACAAGGATTGCATCAGACCCTTCCTCACCGACGAACCTCCCAAACCCAACACTACCATTAATGCGCTGCCCGTGAGTGCCGTGTTTTTTCCTGCAAATATCCCTACCCCCTCCCCGTGCTTTACTTCCAAACATTAGCTCACAATTGATGATCCTTCTCCTCGTCTATCCCAACCTGTGTTGATCGCCCGTATTGTTTGACGGTCCTCTCTGATTGTTTTTGTAACCTGTGGTTAAGTGTTTTGCATTCGGACGTGTAAGTAACAATCGGGAGATGGCACCCAAAAAAATCCGTTACCTAGAAATAATACCTTTGACAGTGGACTCAAACGCCTTCAGGCTATATCAGCGGTTGCAGGCCTACTTTCACGCACTACTTGGACTTTCCGCGACGGCCTAACATGGGCTGGCCGAACGAACATCGCAGGAGGTTACATGGACGATGGTCGCTGTTACCCAACCTTCCCCATCGTTACGCACGTATACCTGAATATACGGCATACATTCGCATTATGGCAGTTTATTACAAAGCAAAATCACGTTTAAATAAGATAAGTCTGCACAACAGGAACAGTTTCCAGGCATCTGTTAAAGACATGGCATTGAGGCCAAACCAAAGACGATACTGTACTTCGTCTATGTGAGCCCACACAGCTCGACCACATACAGGGCCTCCTTCGTGGAGTTTCCTTTTCAGTCTACCCCAGTATGCCTCAATGGGATTGGTGTGCCGTCCGGTGGTAGGGTCCTTGAAGTTCTTTGAGTGGTTAACAGAGAAATGTAGATAACCTTCTGAGGGAGGACGATTATACGCCTTCCACTCGTCCGTTACCACTATACTGCCTTTGGCGACCCATTTTGTAATAACGGAAAGGAGAGCGGGCCAATTTCGATCATTCACCTGTTCAAATAAGGCTTTCCGTCGGCTAGTATCGTACATCCCAACCAGCCACCACCCATAAAACCCCTATTACTACCTGTCCCGTAAGACAGGCAGCTTTGGTTAGGCGGATTTTTTCGGTGCCATCTCCCGATTGTTACCGGACGTGTACAGTGGCGAGCGGTCATTAGGGATGTAAAGGAAAATGAATTTAAATTATGCACCAGGCGCATGCATCCAAACCTAGATTTTGACTGGTTATTTTCTTTAGTAGAGGTAGTTGGCACTCAGCGCGTTCCAACAGCAACGGCCTGTGCTCGCTTATTGTCGGTGTCGACCAATTCCTTTCGCTTTCACAGTGCCGCACTTGCACGTGACACGCCTTAGACAGGCTTCTACGCCGCGTCAGCGACTGCGCCCGTTTGGCAGAGGCAGACAGTTGACTGGTGCATAGAAGAAAGAAAGGAGAGCTATGTCACCGTGATAAATTTGACGAGTCGTGACTTGGAAGACCGCCAACTGACGGGCTCATTCTGTTTTTCCTAGGACTGAGGATTTCGCTTCAGTGATTCCCTCCCAGTTTGACTTGCAGAGGCATTTTCACTCATGTGAGATTCGAGCCGCCCTTACCGCGGCCCGGTACGTCTGGAGCAAGGACTAGGGCCATTTAGCTCCGTCGCCCACTGCGCCCGAAACGGGTGGAGCGAGGTAGATACCCTAAAAGCCAACTTTGCTATAAGCAAGTTCACACGAACTCATCGCTGCTGGACCGGCGTATTAGAGCATCAGTGGATGTTGTCGCTTGTGAAGGTCAAACTGTAACTACGTTTGTTGTCTGGGTGGGCTAGTGACTATGCTTTCCGGCTGGCCAATCAGTGGGAGCAAATTTGCAAAGGCTCATCTGCGCTGGTGCAATCGTTCTTTCCTAGTTTCGGGGTTGTGGCTGTTTTTTGGCCTGGAAACTGTTTCTTCTGGTTGCTAAATCCAGGTACACCCCAAGTGTAGGGCAGGCGACAGACAGGGATGGCGGAGAGATCGGTCTTGCTGCGACAATCATTGCAGGTACACCGTCTTCCAAGCTAGTTTACCCCCTGGTCGCCAGTTTGGTCAGACCCCTGAATGTCATGCCTGACTGGTTAGCATGCTATTTGCTGACTCACACACACGGACTTGTTAAGCGAAACTGTTTTGCGGCGTGCTGGTTTCCAGCTGGACGGTAAGGATGCCGCGTTTGGTTCTGGGCCGCGCAATTGAAGATGGTAGACAAAGCCCATAGCAGATTAAGCGGTGTGTTCTCGGGAGGGCTGGGTTTGCTCAAACCTAGCGTTTGACTCAGCTTCTTTCTATCCACGTTATCTTTTGACTGCCTGAAACTCGGAGATACAGCTGATCGTCGTACATTTAAAGCACGCGATGGCGGTTATTTGGTCCTACGACTTGTGTCCGATTTCTTGCAGGATTAGAGGCAAGCACAGCAGTAACGTCTGTTTGTGAAATAATCCCCCCGCCCCCTGCCTTGTAGTTCCAACCCGGTGCGGGTGCCTGCATCATGTCCGAGGCTCCGGTAACCCAGCCTTTGGCGGCCTCCGCGGGTCTCTCCCTCGGTCGCGCCGGCGCCAATGTGCCCGTGCTGCATGCGGAACATGTACAGAACATTAGCCGTCCCTGGCACGGCGCCGGAAACTTCACGGACCCCGTGCACGTGCGCAGCAGCAGTAGCAGTGGCGGCGGTAGCAGTAACAATGGCGGCGGCGTCGGTGCTGTCTGTCTACATGGTGGTGATACGGGTCCCCTCTGTCTTGGCCCCTCCCAACGTACCTCACATTCGGGCTCCAGCCTGGGTGTGATCGTGCGCCAGCCCACCGGTTCGTGGACCTCCGCTCGGGCGGCGGGTCGTCAGGGCAGCTACGCTCTGCCCAGCAAGTTCGGTCCCGCCGTGCCCGCGCATCACACTCGCATCAACAGCACTCCCTCAAGCGACAAGGTCGTCAGTCGAGTGGCGGTCAATGGCGGCCGCGATTACGGCGTCGGCGCCCTCCACCAACATCCCTCAGCCAACTTGGGCCTCCGCTCGTCGGCTGACTTTGTGACTGTGGCCGATGAGGATGACGTGGATGACGTGCGCGACTTCCAGGCGAACGTCTCTGAACCCACTTCTCCGCTCTCAGCCAAGGATGCTGTCTTCCCCACTGCAGCAGCTGCTGCTGCTGCCCCCTGTGCGGACGTGCTCGATCCTGATCCTCAGCCACCACCACCA